GGCGCGGGGCCCGGCGGGCGCCCCCGGGGCGGCGCAGGTGGCGGCGGGCAGCCTGCTGGCTCTGCTCATCCTCTGGACGCTCTTTGGGAACGTGCTGGTGTGCGCGGCCATCGTCCGCTACCGGCACCTGAGGAGCAAGGTCACCAACATCTTCATCGTGTCGCTGGCCGTCTCGGACCTGCTGGTGGCTCTGCTAGTCATGCCCTGGAAGGCGGTGGCTGAGGTGGCCGGGTACTGGCCCTTCGGGGCTTTCTGCAACGTCTGGGTGGCCTTCGATATCATGTGCTCCACGGCCTCCATCCTGAACCTGTGCGTGATCAGCGTGGACAGGTACTGGGCTATTTCCAGCCCTTTCCGCTACGAGAGGAAGATGACCCAGCGGCTGGCTCTGGTGATGATCGGCGTGGCGTGGGCTTTGTCCGTGCTCATCTCCTTCATCCCCGTCCAGCTCAACTGGCACAAAGGTGGGGATGTTGCGGCCGCCGGTGATGTCGGAGGGGGATTTGGTGCTGGCTGGGCAGCGGCAGGTGCTGTCACCACCTGGGCGGAAGATATGAGCACCACGTGGGTGACGTTAGCAGCGATGAGACCCTCTGATGGGACCTCCGGCAGCAACGATACCCTCGCTGGACCGTCGGAGAGCTGTGACTCCAGCCTCAACAGGACTTACGCTATTTCCTCCTCCTTGATCAGTTTTTATATCCCGGTGGCTATCATGATAGTTACCTACACTCGAATCTACCGCATTGCCCAGGTGCAGATTCGTCGTATCTCTTCCCTGGAGAGGGCAGCCGAGCACGCGCAGAGCTGCCGGAGCAGCCATGTCGACTGCCACCATCACACGAGCCTCAAGTCCTCCATCAGGAAAGAGACCAAGGTGTTGAAGACTCTCTCCGTCATCATGGGCGTCTTCGTCTGCTGCTGGTTGCCATTCTTCATCTTGAACTGCATGGTTCCCTTCTGCGAGAGCCCACCCAGTGACCCCCACGCTGGCCTTCCCTGCGTCAGCGAGACCACCTTTAATATCTTCGTCTGGTTCGGTTGGGCCAACTCCTCTCTCAACCCCATCATCTACGCCTTCAATGCTGACTTTAGAAAGGTCTTCTCCAACCTCCTGGGATGCGGTCAGTTTTGCTCTAGTACTCCAGTGGAGACTGTTAATATAAGCAACGAGCTTATCTCTTACAACCAGGACACCCTTTTCCATAAGGAGATAGCGACTGCTTACGTTAACATGATCCCAAATGTGGTTGACTGTGAGGAAAACCGTGAGGACCCTTTTGATGGGATGTCTCAGATCTCCCCCGACCATGAGATTGCCACTGACTCTGTCTGTGAGCTGGACTGTGAGGGGGAGATTTCTCTAGGCAAAATAACACCTTTCACTCCAAATGGTTTACATTAAATTGCATCCTGCCCCGGTCAGTTCTTCTTGGATTATAAAACAAAATATTAGCGCTGAGTGGAAAAACCTGCTTGATTTTACGCTATAGTTTGGTCAGTCACTTCATGTGTAGCACTTTGCAAGGTGTAGACGCTGTCATACAGGGAGCTGGCAGCACAAACTTAGTTCAGCACTTCCCCAGGCTGAGAGAGGACCAGGCAGTCGCGTTGATTAGCTGTGGTGAGGTATTGTGGTATAATTACGGTCAGTTCATGTTTATAACGTGTTTGCAAATGAAAGGTGCCATTGTCAGTGCTAAGTATTGCAACTTCTAAAATCAGGGACAGATGTGGCTGGCATAGACATTAAAAAGAAAAAAATTCTAGGCTGTTTGTTTGTTCAGATCTTATGTTTCTTTTTCTCTGTTGTGTTTTGTTTGGTTGGGGTTTTTTTGTTGTTGTTGTTGTTGTTGTTGTTTTTTAAAGATAGAAATAGTGAGGTGGTGATTTGGATGATTATTTAAATGCATATTTCTGCCAAAACAGTTCATGTGAAATCCATGTTCTCCTAGGCGGCGTTGTTGCCTATGATATCCTTGCCATGTTCCCAAATGAATAAATAAAAGTTACATTGATCAAGGGGTTATTATCTTTCATTTATCACCCTGAAAGGTTTGCAACAAGTATTCAAACTTTAACATTCCTATTTGAATGGTTAGAGTGACTAACAGTCAAACCCTATTATTTTAAAAGCAAGGTAGTCTGTATAGAAAATAAAATTTTTCAATAAAAGCAAGGCTCATAGGAATGATTGACTTAAATGGACTCTTTTATATGGCTCTACTTAAAGCTAGATGTATGCCTGTTTTCCTTCTTAGTATTATAACTGATGCTATACCTCTCTGCAGCTAAGAATATCAAGTATACATATCTACAAGCTGTTAAAGCTTTCCACTTAATTCTATACGTGAACTTACTTTTTAAAAATACTATTAATGAGAAGAGTTTGGTGATGGAATTAGGAGCTGAATGTGTCTATAAACAATAACTGTGTTTGAAAATGATGCTAATAATCTGCATTTCCCAGTGTAGACATTAGAGAACTTATTCAAGCCAGGAGAAGAAAAAATGCCATTGATGTATTTTTTTAGTTATGTACTTATTAACCAGGACTTAAATATACTTTAAGTGCTTTGACTCTACAAAACATTTTAAAGCAGACTTTAAATACTGTAAAAGAGTATTTTAAGCTCTGTTTCTGTTGAAACGTTTACATCACACTGAATATTGTATTTAGAAACGTTTGTAAGCTTTCAGCTCGGAAACGAAAAGCGATCTTATTTCCAAGACAAATGATCAAAGGTAGTGAAAGCAATACCAATATTTATTTCAAGTTTTGGCTCACAAAATGAAAAACATTTGAATTCATTTACCCTTTAAAAATACCCGTGCCACGAGCTGAGCAGATTTAAATCAAACTGTAGGTGTGGATTCAGTAGCAGTCCCTCCTAATGGCCCTGACCTGGGGTCTCTCCCATCCTCCCTAACTGGGAATTGAAGGCCCCTATATGATGTGTGGGGCAAAAGTAGGATCTGCAGTAGGCAGCATGGTTCAGGGGAAGTTGTTTAACCAGGTGCTGGGATTTGTGAATGTTGCAGACTTAGTACTGAGCATCTTTGGAAGTCAAGCCCTTAATACTGGTTTGGGGATTGTCTTGCTTCCCCTTGGGATATGAGGTGGAGGAAGAGCAGGAGGCTTGTGATTGAAATCCCTCTGTGGTTGCCTCTGCTGCAGTCTGGTTTTGCCTGCAAGTGACGTTCTGTGTGTGTAGTCTTTGATATTAACTGGTTGTATTGTCGTTCTGGATTATCTTTTCAACTGCTTGTCACTGAAGATTGACATCTACCTGAGCGTTTTCTTTGCTGTTGATAGGAAATCTCACTGTAATATCCCCTTACAGCTGTCCTCAGAAAAGGGTATTGTGACTGTGGCTTAGGGAAGCTCCAAAAACAGAAATCTCATGCCCATAACTAGGTTCAACCTACTAATGGCTTGACATCGAGGGTGAGTATGTTATCATTCCTCTACTAAAGCAACGATATGTTGCCAGGAGTTAACCATAGTTCTACCCCTGCTGGTTAGATAAACTTGCCCAGAATAAAATCATTTTCCCACATAAAAATGAAGGAAACTGCTTCTGGTGGTGCAGTGATGAATTATCCCAACCAGAATTCAGATTTTTGCATTTTCTAGTTACTACTCAAATTTTGAGGCTAGTACAGCATGTTAAACTTTCTGGATCTGTGCAAAAAAACTATGATACCCAGATGCAAGAGGCACAGGCACCTGGTGCTGATTCCAGCTCCCGGGGCAATGCCTATATTTTATCCAGTTTTGTCCGTATTAAATCAGAAACAGCCTGGGGAAATGGAGAAGGGAAAACATGATCTCTTCCTGAGCACCTGCCTGCCAACAGGCTGTGCAGTCTGATGCTGCGCGTTACACCCTGCTCCAGCAGCAGTACAGCGCAGCAGAACAGTTTCAGTAGTAACAGTGAAGAGAGTGTCCCCCCACTTCCCTCAGCAGCCTTTCCTCTTCAAAATAATCCCTGTACTGGTGGTATGACAGTTCCCTTGGATCCAGTTGCCTGCAGGTGTGGTGGAGGGTTAGATGCGTACAAGAAGATGCTCGTGCATCCCCTAGGCAGGTGTTTTTCTCCTTGTCGAGGCTTTACCTGCCTGGGTTTCTGGAATAAATGGGTGGGCTAATGCTGGGATGAAGGAAGATGACGCCTCCATCAGTGGGTTTATGTAACAGCTTTGCACAGAATATTAGAAACGGTCTTAGATCTGAAGGAAGGCAGTTTTTAGCCTGCCCTCAGAATTTGGGAGCATGATTAGGACAACACAGAAAACTGGTCAAATTGCCACTTTCCTTTACTAATTTTTAGTTATGACTTCAGCTGGTAAATGAATTCTGATGGTGGCTGTACGATGTACTCTCTCTCCTTGGAATATGTACCTGTCAGGGGGCTTCATCCTTTGGAGCCCATGAGCATCAGAAAGGGAACATTTCTGCTTCAAAAGACAGAGAAAAAGTACTTTTTTTTTCTGGAAGCACAGATTGACCTTACAGATCTGAAAGAAAACCTTTTTCTTGGCTCATAACATAGGGACAATTTGTTGCTTTTTAATGTGTCTTAATTACTTACCACTGGCAAAGCTAGAGTATTCAGAATTAGTAAGATAAACTTTTAAAAGAAATGTGTATCTCGCCTTGAACTACAAAAAGGGGAGGCTGTTTTAATGAAAACATCCCCAAAAAGGATTGTTTTAACTTGTTTCTCTCAGATGAAACTGCTGCCCTACTTTTTTAATGGTTTCCCTCTTAAGGACTAATGCATCTGCCTAGCCGTAGAGCAGAGTTCATTGGAAGTGCAAGTAGGTTTTTATAATCCTCATATCTTTCTGGTGTCACTCTGGAACTCATCTGTGCCAATGGTTTTGTGCCTTCCATCAACATGTTTTCTTCTGTGAAAGTCACCTTGCTACTGTCATGCATTTTACTCCCTAATTAAGCACGATCACTTATTGCTGGCTCAGTTTGGGGTTTTTTCTTTTTTGTCCTTTGTACTTTAATGATTTGAATGTACGGTGCAGTTTGGCTTTGAGTCATCATTACTTAATCTAGTCCTGAGTGATGGCTGACCTTCAAGGTCCCAGATTATTTTCAGTTTCTATTTTGTGTTACTGTTTAGAAATCTTACCTTGCAACGTGTGTCACTGTTAAATTACCTCTTAGCCAGCCAAATCTTCTGTTACGGCTTACTCTGTTACTCCTGGATAACTCCATCCCAAAGGAGAGTCAGTGTATCAGTAGTCTGTATGTTTTCTGTCTGAGTTAACTAATGACAGAGGAGTGTTCATTTTAGTGAAAGAAGAGAACGTCTTGTGTGAAATGCACAAGGTATCGAAGCTGGGACATGTTGGACATGAAAGTACAGTGGTTTGTGCAAAATGCTGCAAACACCATGAAGACTCTTTCACTATTCAAACCCCCAAAGAGCTTTCAACAGCTCCGGCTTTAACACGGGGTGGTGGGTTGCATAGTGGGGTTTTTTTCCCCCAAGCTAAAGAAATGTAGATGACTTTCTCAGAGGTGAACACAAACAAAACACTTTCCAAAGGGAGAAAAATTACTGCTCCCTACTGAGAACTCATGTATTTTTGTAACATGTAACAAAAAAAGGCTTCAAAATTAGGAAGGCTCCTTGTAGAAATAACACTAAGCACAATCTTACACCATTTAGGAGTCAATCATGTATAAACTCAGCATTCAAGAGTCTGACAAGACTGGAGGCAGTGTTCAGAACATGCATCAGACTGGAGGTTTGAGGGGTCACAAGTCCCTCAGCTGTTTGTATGTGCCAAAATTGCCACTCTTAACAAGGAAGGCATTTTGTCACCATCACACAGGAGGCAGGGTATACACCTATGTTGGTGTTAATAATTATGCAGAGATTTTTTTTTCCTCTGAGGCCATCTTTGCTGCTGTTTAATTGGATTCAGCAGATCTTTAAAATTATTCAGTGCCTATTTAAATCAGCAGAAGACCTCGGTGATGGATGTGGGCTTGGGTCACAGAGCAATGAAATTATTTCTCCTGGCTTCTTATGAATATTACTACTGGTATTCTCTGCTGGTGGATGATGACATGTTAAAGTTGGCATGCTGAACAAAACATTTCACCAGCTGCTAAGCAGAAATAATTCTTTTATTCAGATTTACTTACTTGTTTTCAGACTTTCCAGGGGCTTCACAAAGTCCACACAGAGCATCTCCACTTTGATCGTATCTCAGATCAGCAACAACTGGTTGCATTTTTAGTGCCCTGGTAACTATACAGTGCACTATGCTTTTATGAACAGAATTACGCCCCTCTAAGTTTAAGCTGATCTTTTCAAAGGTGAGGGTATACTTTTGGTCTAAAAGCACTGATGTGCACAAAAATACCTATAAATGAGGACATTTCCATTATTAATGGAAATAAGTGCCTGTTTCTTTAGCATTTTGTTTATTGTAGCAGTGGTAAGATTGCAGTGAGCAATAATGGGATTAGTGGTATAAAGAGTGGAAATACAAATAATATTATCATCTGAAGCAGATGATGGATTGTTTCTTTTGGGGAGCCTGCCGGCTCTCCCAGGATAGTTTAGTTTAATAGAAAATTTACAAGATGATTTTATCTTGTTATATGTCTAAATCCATTCTAAGTTGTGACTGGAGATAACGTTCAATAATATTTATAGCAGACAAATAGCTGTATAAGGAGGATAAACATTTTTATGGACTTAATCATTTATATCATGGCCATCAGTGTCACATTTGTGAGGTTTGCAAAATACAATGCAGTAATCGTAAAATAATTAAAAGTTCTAGTCCATGAAAAACATTTCTTCCTATGAATTATTCCCCACTGTTAACAACAAATGCTTGTTTTTATCTTGTACTGCACTCTCATTGCTACCAGAAGAAGCTGGAATGCTCTGAACCTGCTACTAATAATCTGCTGATTTACATTAGGAGGAAGGTCAGAAAAATAAGGAAAGAAATGGCAGCAACATGTACAGATAGG